GTAATGCGAACGTTACACTTGCACGTAACTAAGATCAGAATTCCTCGTAAGGGGTTAGCATGGTAAGGTTAGCAAAAGTATGGCGGAATTTAGTCAATCAATTAAGAGTTTACGATGCATATCATAACACACTAATCCACTAATTGCTTGGCTAATCGTAAGTTCTTGTAACTGTAAGATAGTGTTGCATGGTGGAGCTTGCTTTACGAACTCGTAATGACCGTCTGCTGGGTCTCTTAGAGTTCAAACAACTCCGACTCAATTCATCGTTCCTTTAAACATACTAGACAATCTCATTTTTGGACATAAATATATACACGTGAAAAAAATGATCAAACATTTAGGTTTACGAAACCTTATCTACTTCGAGCACTCCTACGTGAGGTCGTTTGAATAAGTTGTGTTCTTCCTTTGTTACGTAAGACCGCTGAACAAAAGAAAGAATTGACAGCACACGAGCGAGTAATATACGATTGTGCCGGCAGAGTATGTGGGGACAGCGCGACAACTCGAACAGAATTAAAACGTTTCGTATCTTTTATGCACGTGGCGTTTGTATTTCGTACTCGGTCGCGTGCATTCCCTCTACGTCTGATTTTTCGAATTACCTAACAGCGTCTGCTGTAATGTGCATCAAACTGCTAAAATTGACCATTGTCTGCCACCGTTATGGCCAAGCGACTAGTGTTATCGAAAACGAAGTACTTTATTAAGCTCCTGCTCGGCGAATTCTCTCAGGTTGAAATGACGCTAACAACAACGTTAGCAATAAAAGCACGATAACAACAACAACAGTGAGCAAGTCACGCTGCCCAATCACGAAATTTCGAAGGGATGCGACGGTACGGTGTGAGAATGGTGATGAAATTATGATAATGACTTTCATTTTTATTATTACTAGCGCTGATGCTGTTATGATACCTGCAAACTCTCTCGCCGTTGATATGAATCGATGCGGGACATTTGTTCATGTCAAGATAATAGATAGATTCGAACTTTCCTCTTCTGTCAGCTTATCTACTGCGCTGGCGGTGGACATGAGAACGTTCTTGAAACATTTTCAATTTTTTCGTTAGCCAACGTGATGATGGTGCTTTTTCCCAATTGCCAACTACAGGCTCATTAAAAATTGATCGAGCAGTAATTTAGTACAATATGATGAATGAGCCACCAACCAAACAAATAAAATACGTCCGTCTCAATTACCGGAGCGCCCAATTACTATCAACAGCAGCGGCGGAACGGTGCATTTAGGGAGAAGGTCGCTATCACGCCGAACTGGTGCTGACCTCTGACCGGACGCTTTGTCGCGATTTCTGCTACGGGACAACGACTTCAGTCAACCATTAAGAACAGTCTAGTGCTTCAGCGAGTCTCCTACAGAGCAAACGCGGGCAGATAACACGAATGACAACGTCTAACGCGATAGCAACAAGCAATAAAGAGAGCGGCATCAACGGCTGTTCAGTCCTGACAAGCGAGATCCACGGAAGAGAAGAAGTTCAACGAGATATATGAGTTAACGAACAAATCGACAAAACGAATTGCCGACAGTAACCACTGTTTATGACGTAGTGCTTATAGTTGTCCATAGTGTCATCGCGACGCGAGGAGATTTTACATCCGTCCGGCAAGACCCTGCAAAAACCGTCTGTCAGCGGCCGCCAACAGTAACGCTAATAAGGGCCAGGGGGTGACGTTGGTGTTCGTCCATTGCACAGCGTGTGAATATATCATCATTATATAGTCCGGATAGATACATGAGTATTGTTCGTTGTTTTTATCCTAGCTGTCGCTGTTATCGCCATTTTTATTGTTGGCGCCGTCGCTACGTCCGCTACTGTTTGAACGGCGCGAAGTAACCAATCATCAGGCCGTTAAAATATGAGCTTAAATGCGTAAGCCCCGTTGGGCCGCTACACCCGATGCCTTTATGGGGTATACTTAGCGCTGGCAAGCAACTGACGACATGATTCAGAGACAACGGCGGGAGCTAATGGAATAGTTTATAGCAACGCATCAGAAATACATGAGGTCGCTACAACACCCGATGATAGCGCTCCTGGCCGTGACGGTGGCGTATCTGACAAAATTTATGATGAAATATTTTCCGTTCCGAGAACTGAAGAAGGTCAACGGAAGGCCACTGAGACAAAAGCAGCAACGGCGGCGTTTGCCAATTGTAACAATGAACAATGCCGAAGATCAAAATCGGATACACATTTCGTTACTCTTCTACTACTAACGAGGTAAGGGATTGGTTTTCAACACCGTCATTAACAACCGTCGCCATAACTACTGCACCCATTCGGGGTGTCATCTCGTTGCCATGGAGGAATTAGATCGTTTGCTCTTGGCCAAACACAGACGGTTCGAGAAGATACAACGGTGATGCAATCACCGTATTCTATTCGCCTGTCCGACGCACGTGTGAAATAATGTCTACGGATTAGAAATGCGTAAATTACGTTTTGCTTAGTTTCTCGTTTGTTGTTTTGATAGCACCAAATGAGAATTAATTATAATTTATATCCTATTTTCGTATTGCAGACAATGCATGGGATGTTGAGAAAAATAAAACTAATGTGTGTATATATAAGATTCTCGGTAACGAGCAGACAAACTCTAAAGCGCGTAAATAATTGAATCAGTCAACGCATACCTGTATACGTCGTCGTGATTTATGTTGTAAAAGAACAGCTGAGGATATTAGCCTTTTTCAATATTTTTGCAAAATCCTGTGATATTAGCGAAACCTTGAGACTGCTATATCTACTACTTGCCGCATAACATAGTAACAGGTTTCCAGTACTACGTAACAGATAGGAAATCTTCTACGGCGCATCTGTGCAGTGAGCCCCAACAGTGACAAAGATATAACATTTATAACTCATAGAAATATACTAGCAAGCCACATTTGTGTGACCGTTTCCGCCGATGCTACTGACTTTTCCTCAGTCGGCCCTCTCCATGCACGTTTCGGATGCAGCAATCCTACCATCGATAGCTCAGTTCGGAGCTATCTATAATACTTTATATATTCGTATAAAAGCTATCTAAGTAATCTAGCCAGGAGACTATATGAAAGTGGATAGATATCTGCACAGCGCAGTGACGCCATTTGTTCGCGAATCCGCCAAAATCTGGTCCTCACATCAGCTGCGCCGTCACCGACTAGCACACCCGTTTCCGTATGGTTCCATCGCAAGTCATCCATTAAAAGGATCCAATCGACTATCGCCTGAATAAAGAGCACAAGCCGGTGGACAGCCTACAGTTGATTTGTGCTAAACAGATCAGCGTCACACCTCGGACTAAAATTGCGGAAAAAATAGGCTCTAGTAGCAACAGTAACAAAAGCAGACGCCGCCGTTGGGTTGGTAAAAGCAACAATACGGCATCTAGTGTTAGTGATAGTATCGGAGTTGCCTCTGCTCGGTCCGTTTAGTACCATATGAATCCATCGGAAATTACGCCGACACACTGCGCCCATGGAAAGGAGAAAATACGGTAAGTAGTGCGACACAACGAAGCCCTTTGTTGGGCTGCGTGATAGGGCAACTATCGAGGTAAGTACCGGATCCCCACTTGGAGGGCATGAAGGCATTTGGGACCAGTCATCAGTGTGTACTGACCAAGCATCTGAATGCTCTACTGGTGCCACGACTAGGCAACAAGGGTTGGCAAGAAGCATAGAAACGTAGCCAATTAGTATCAGAGATGAGGTGCACTCAGAGGCCGTCTACAGCCACAGCGCATTTTCTTCCGACGAACCGCTAGTATCAGTAGTGCCTCGACCGTCCGCGCCATGGCGGGTAAAAGCATAGAAAAGGTGGGTGTCTACATTCCATTTCCCTGCAAGAACGGAACGGGTAATAGGGGTAACGAATAAACGCTTGGCATATATATTGCAGCAGCACCATCATACAGTGGACATACTCGCTCGACCGTCCTATCCGATGCCCAAAAGCACATGGAAGCCTGTCTTTCCTGGTCATCTTCTGCTTCGGTCCTTTGTCCTCTCTCTGCGTTTTCGATGGGGGGTAAAACGGGACAGTTTCTCCATCACTAGAATGGTCAGGACAAAACGTCCAGCGGGACTGATGATGTTCCCCAGAGAATCTATACCCGGTCGAGTGCGAAGAAAACACTGGCGTTGTCCCAACCAGCGAAGCGAAGGCACATCGGGAGTCTGAGGTTAGTTGCACTATAGCAAGTCGGCTTCAACGTCGTAGTAGAATTCTTCCCGTAATCGACGGGAGAGTCGTCTGAGTTCGTCTAAAAAGCCAATGTCACCGACGAAACTGAAGATCAATGCCCGGTCGTATCTGCTAGATGCCGCCGCTGCGCCGATTCTCGGTAAGGTTTGCGCCACCAAGCTAACAGATCGATGCATTCGACACGAACACAAAAAAATCAAACCGATAAAAAGCAGAGACGAAGCCACCTTGAGTGGCGGAACTCATATAGTCACGACTATACTACACTATCAGATGATGAGGTCAAGTACTCCTACTAGCGGAAATACGAGTGAGTCTTCACGAGACAAGACCAATAAAAGGGAAAGACGCTACTGAGTGGAAGCGAAGCAATAAAATGCTGTCGACACTTTATACTTGCACTTTCTCTTTTCGCCGTTCCCCACCAAACGTGATCATTCTCAGGCAAAGAAACAACCTCCTTCAGGTTAACATTGTATGCTTATATGGACTTAAAGCAAAAAACGACGATAACAAAAAAAAGTCATATAAAGCTCGCAGATTCCGCCAGTAAATCTTCAAGTTTCTTTCTTTATGAATATGCTAAGCTCAGTTTAGATAGTCAGTCGTAAGCTGTGACGGTTGACTTAAATAAGTTCCACTCGTTCGATAACAACAACGATGATCAGCGCATTTCTGATAACTATATATGTTAAGTCTGCGTTGATATATCTATGCATTAATACGAAAATGCTCCGTAGAGCACAATGTAGATAAACTATTAGGCCATGCAGTATTTACCGTTTGTCCTGTCGCGTCTATGTAGCGCAGTCCGAAGTAGGCTGTTTCAAGTAAATTGAGATGTTTGTGCACCGCGTCCAAGAGATCTTGGCCCCGCGAGACATTCTGAAATTATAAAGGTGCAAAACAAGTTTAGAAAATTATACAGTGCTTCCACTAATAGATGGCATTCATCGTTCTAGCACATTCATATATATTGTACTCATTAAAACTGTGGATCATAATAACCACCCAAGACAATGCTGATGGCAACGAAAACTGCCATGGTGAAAATTATTATTCAAGGCCAGAGTTCGCTTCCATCTGCTGTCGAGTTTGTCGTTACAAGAGCGGAAGGACCTCTAGCCATAGCCTACGGCGACATTTCTCCGGTCGCATAAACAGGACCAACTAGCAGGTCCGATTGTGTGCATATGTACTTAGGTTGATTTTCCGCATTAACATTCAATCCCTGTTTTTTTTACGAGCAGATGATCTTTGCCTGCCAAATCAGGTGGTGTCGAAAACTGCAAAAAGAGATAACGGAACCGCGATCAGTTGCCATCTCCGCTTTTACCTATTTCCTAGTATAACTACTACCGTAAAAGGACAGAGCAATATTCAGGGGAAGGTTACGACGAGAGCAAAGTTGGGCAATTGGCAAACTCGATGAAAAACGGCCAAGCAAATTCATAACGTTGGATCCTTGTATACGAACGCCTGTGGCTGCGCCGTATAAGCCCTACTATTCTATTTTGCTTGTTGATGATAACAACGAGCGGGACAGAACACGCTTGAGTGGCTCAATTATGTTCTTCCATCGTGTTCATGGATCTGTCTATGGGTATGTGTGCGTACCTGTAGCGGTATAATACAGGTCTAACTTGAACTAAGCTGAGTGGTCGTTTAGTTGGTAGACGGATAAAGTACGAGTCGTGGTGCGCGCCGGTTTGGCGCACACCGTTGCAACGCCTGGAGAAAACTGTTGAAGCATTTTTATTCTTTCCGAAAATTGCGTTCTCCCCTGCTGCTACACACTAAAGCACCAGGGAATCAGAAGGGCCCCTCCGCTAAAAACTGCTAGGACGTAGCTCCAGCTGCTCTTTCTACTGCTGCTGCTGCTGTCATAACCCAGATCCAGGCTAGTCCAGCTGGACCAAACCATACACAGTCAATTTCAACGTATGTAGTAACATTGAAAAGCATGGGTTGAAAACGGCAAGCCAAAACTTTGCCATAATGCTCACATACTACGAGTGTTCAAAGATGTACGTTTTCTTCATTTTGACGCAGCCTCTGAGTGAATGAACGGACGGAGCTTTTAGGGGAATGGAGAGGGTGACGTAAGCACTAGAGGATGCAAGCGCCTCCGCTGTAGTCACCGACCATCGCGTGCCCCCGTGTTCATATCGTCGCGTTCGCACCGTTCAAGCAGCAATGTCAGATACAGTAGCAGCGGTGGTGGAAGCAGAAGCAGTGGGAAAAATATGCCGAAATGGAGTAGGTCCTCGTAGTTCACAGCAAAAAAGTGGGCGCCGTTTCAAACAAAGAAGAGAAGACGGAACGAATACACAAGAAAATTTTAGAGCATACCGCAGACGTTGCCACAGCTTAGGCTGTTTGGCTGCTTGCATCAAGTCGGCCTTCTGTTTTTTTCTCTCTGCTGTTGATGTGGCCTCGCCGAAGAAGCGAACTAGACAACCGGGAACAGCGTTGAGGCAAATTAGACGACTATCAGTGAATAGTGGCACACGCCTCCGATGTGCAACGGTGTCCGGATGGCCGTGGGCGGAAGAAGAACTCGGAAGGTGGAGCAGAAGCCTACTTAGAAGTAAACGTAGTCGCGCCCGCCCTCGCACACGCCAAAAACAGATAATCTCTCTCAAAAGCGAAAGGCCTAGCAAGTAAGCAACCAATGGGAAAATTTTCGTTGATTTCGTCCTTCTTTGCTTTAGCAGTTCAGTCGCAATGGGGAACTGCAAAGAATCGAAACATGAGCGCGCTGTCGCAGCCATCCATAATTCTGCCGTTGAATGCCACAATGGGTCGAAAAAATGCCTCTCTCCTATCGGTAAAGGACTAAAGGACAGTGACCTTAGCATAACCAACGCTAAGGGGCAGGCTGAACCACTATTGTCTTCGCTTCAGGCTAAGAGCATAGATTTCAGACTTCTAAGGCTCGGTTTGTAACGATACAATTGCATATGGTTGGTAATGCTGCAACTATTATCGGAGCTTTGAGAGGCCTGTTACTTCGGAATTAAAATCTAGCGTTTGGTAAGGCCGGTCCTTGTTAAGCGTCCAGCGAGGCGGCACGGAATAAGAACACCTGTGAACGCCGAGTGTCAATACGGGCGGGGCGATCTCCATTCTATTTGTTCTCGTAGGGTAGACGAATCTTCTGGCCCGTTTCAGAAGCCTCGGCTGCGAACTCAACGATTCACCACGTTGGCACCGACAGACGTTCTCCATACTCTTCCCTGTGCGAAAACTACACACCTAAGAAAGATATATGTCGAAGAGACGTTGGGATTACCTATTTTTAGGTAGCCCTTGAGACACCAAGAGAATAGGCGAATGGAAGGAGGTAAGAGCGAAAGCCTTAGAGGTGAGGTGTTCGAGCGGCTGTTAATTTCAAACTATTTGTTCGGCTAAAGGAAACCGCTGGATGATACCACTGGCAAAGCAACATAGTCACCTGAAGACGAACCAAAGTAAGGCGGACCAACCCTGGCAGAGCTCGATGGAGTGCGATAACGAGAATAAAGAGGTTTGCTCGGTGCGGGCTGCTACCTTAACAATGACTCTGCGTGAATCCATGAATAACGGGAATGCATGTTCAGGGGAATTAACTACTTTGAATAAGTTCTCTTCAGATTGATTGTCCGTACGCACGTTTCTCGTCGTATACAACTGTGTACAGTTTCCGTATAGTAATACATTATATTATGTATAGCAGTGATTCTTGTTGTCCTTTTAGTTCCGCTATTCAGGAAGCTATCTGCCGTGTAGGGCTGTGGTCATTTGTCTTAACTGTCGTGATAAGCAGCTATTAGATATTGACGTCCTATTGTTATTCTTTTCTCGATTACTATTGTTTTTTATCTTTTTTTTTTCGTCAAACTTCAATTTGCCGATACCTACAACCGGCATCGACGCAGTGTCGGCGTTTCAGATTTTACGACTTTTGGTGTCGTTTGGTGCCGGCGCGCTCACACACACGCGCAGTAGCAGACAATCGCACATTCACTCATGCCAACTCTTGATAGCGCTGTCTGAACTACACACGGCTCACTACTCTTTCATCATTTGTACTCATGTATAAGCCAGGTTGATTGCCTGGTAGGTCGTTGCTTTTCTGGTTATAGGCCCGTAATCATAGACTGCGCACTGTCGTATCCCCCATTGAAATGGTAGCGGGTTGTTACCGCCGACACCTCGGGTCAGGATCGTGCCTGCCGCCTGTTAATGACCGAGTCTATATGCGAATTCCTTTTGACGGCCGTGTAACGCCGTAGGCTTACATTGCGCCTGCAGGGGCTGTGTTCGTCACTCTCGCGTTTCGCTCAGTCCTTGCGACGTCAACGATAAACGCGATCGACTATATCCGTATATACATGTGTATATGATGAATTATTTTCATCATCATGTTGACCCGGTTTTGATGACGACGACGCGGTTGTCTCGGGTTGATTAGAAAGAAGACCATGCAAGAGCAATCCTTTGCTGTAGCCCCGTATTGGATTGACTACGCAGCAAGGAAACGCCAATTGTCCTATTGTCGACTATTTTTATGCATGCGACGTATACGCACGTATCGCATCAAGATAGGTCATATTCACCGCTATGGGCGAACATCAGTTCACAGCTCCAATGAAAATGTCGATTTTTTCGAGTCGTCAAAAAACAGAAGCGAAAACAAAGGTTCGAATGAAAAAAACACACAGTCGCGGCAGCAGCAGAATCACTGGGATCACAAAAACGATTTAGTCGATTGTTGCATTTGACGAATATTTGGGTCGTGTCCGTCAAAAATGACGCCCCTTGATTTGCCCCACCACAGGTGGAGGGACTCCATGATATGGAAGATGGTGACATTGGGCACGATGTAAAATGGGTAAAATTGATAACACTTCGGATTGCAGCTGTTGCTACTACCGCCACTCATAGAATCGATTGCGATAGAAGTACCTAGATTACGCCCATTGTTATATAGCGTCGAATATGAAAGCTGCTACTACGACGTATCAGAGCAAGTTATAGAAATGAAAGTGATACGCTGTTTCGAAGCGCAAATCGCGGCTCTGAACTTGCGCTATCTTTAGTTTTCTTTTTATTCGTGGGCGAATATTTCAAAATGCTATCCGCATCTGCACGTATCATTAGATTATTCTCCGACGCGCTAAATTTAATTTGAATTTTGGCGCTTTAAATGGTCGACCTTAATACTTGTGCTCGTGCGGAACATATCCGTTTATTTCTCAACAAGAAAAGGAAAACAATATCTACAGATGAGCTGGACGTGATGCGTGCAGGCTCGTGCGGGACAAAATGGATGGATAGCAGTATCAGTGATTCGTAACAACTTAAGTTATTTTGAGTTAGATTCAAGTTGAAGAGATCGTGATCACTCCCACAGACAAATTCAGGGTTCAACATTTGTTGGTGTCCAAAGGTAATTCGCGATCTTAGCCTCCCGCATAAATCGTAGTGCAAATCAAATTATAGAACAGATGCGACATGAGTTCTTCAAGATCCATATTAGATATTTTATCAGACGATCTAAATCAGTGGACATACAGTAAATCAAGCGGGTCCCAGACAGGAAGATCTACACACTTAAGACGGCGCGTAAATTAATTTCTCGGCTTTATTTAGGCACGCTAAGTTGACACTGTGACGGTTGTTATTGGCCTTTGTATTTGTCCACCTTCGTCTGGAAGCCGTTGACATTCAGGCAGATTGAATTCTAGCATCGACATTCGTTCGGAGATGGAGCACGGTCGTTTGGCATCACCGTACATATGTTAGCTGCAACGAGTCTAGAATGGGTAAAGCATGATTCTAGCGAGCAACCGAAGCTGCCCGGATGGCCAGCAAAAGTGGTAAAATCAATACGCTGGTGT